CTTTTTCCAGCCCGGGCACTTCCTCATGAAGATAGCCTCTTACTAGGAATCACAAGGGCCACTGTGGACCACATGGAGATCATCAGAGCGGAAGCAGGGCACTAGAATGATGTGATGATGTCAGAGGTGTGGCAGCATGTTTCAGGCTGTTCCTGACTCCAGCCTGCCTAACGCTTACAGAATTCAGAATACATAGACTTCAGGTACCATTTTAGGGGTGATAAAAACCGGTGCCACCCTATGGGTGGAGGCCAAATGTAAAGTGCATAGCAACACTATCTTGGTGGAGACCAAATAAAGAAAGCTTCAAGGCACCATATTAACAATAATCCATTTACTCAGCACATTATTTATTTTGTAAAGTACTGTATATTGATGACATCTTGGTAATCTGGAATGCCCCCCCCCCCCCCACCTTTCATAAATTCTTTTGTTGACCACTGTAACAATAACATATTCAGGTTTCCCTTCACTTATGTATCTGATAAAGATTCTCTAGTGTTTCTTGACCTTGTACTTGTTTCTCAAGGGAAAAATAAATCACCTCTCTACCCACTTTAAACCCACGCCAGGGAACTCATACGTCCAGGCTGAGAGCATCCAATACCCAATGCCTAAAAGCCAATTCCACGGGCTTAGAAAAAAAACTGCACAACTGATAAAGTTTATGTAACCCAAAGAACAAATCCTGAATAAAAACGTTTTCTGATAAAGGGTACTGTCACAATATAAGGTCAGGTTCAGAGACCAGTTGCTACAGCAGTTGTAAGGCTTACCTGAAACCAGCAGGATTGGTACACCAGCGGCCCACCCTGGGAATGACACAGGCTCATCTGAGGTGCGGGGTCTAAGCATCCACCGGTCTTCCCCAGAGCTCCTAATGGTGGAGATGGATTTGACTGCGTGTGAATGCCAGGTCGCAGATCTCAGGATCACCCCACCAGGGAATGAGTAGGCTGGAAACCAAAAGCGGATCAAACAGTTCAGGGATCAAACAGAAGCGGAGTCAGTCACAAGCCAAGGGTCGGTCACCAATGGTAGTAGATAGGATGAGGCAGAATCGTAGTCAGTAGCAAGCCAAAGGTCGGTAACGTAGATGAAGACAGAAGCAGGAACAGTAAGTGGGATATTTTCTGATAAGGCACAATAATCTGGCAACCAGGAAGTGCAGAGACATGGCTTTTATAGGAAGTTCATGGGAGGAGCAAGGAGTTCAAGGTTCAAGACAAAACAGGGTAAAGGCAGGATCATCCAAAGAATTGTCAAGGGAGCTGTCCAGCATTCCAGGTGGCTCAGTGAGAAGAAACACTGTCTCTCACCGCAGAAGGCCCAGGTTTGATTCTAGGCTCTGACAGTTACTCTGATAATCTGGTGGCATACCATTTATACTTAGAAGGACCTATTAAGAAAAAACAGAAAGAAGCACAGTCAGCTAATCACATCAGTTTCATCATGGAGTCCCATGGTGAGTTTATGGAAAAAAATATTTTCCAAGCTTTGGAATATTTTGTTGCGGGATCCTGTACTGGGACCTCATTTGCACTTGAAGGCCTCTAACATTAAAAGTAAAATTGCCCTTAGCAAATTAAGTAAATAAAATAAACTGTTACTTCAAGGGCTAAATTTATTTGGAAATCTAGTAGGTATGTGGCTTTGTCAAAAGAAAAACTGTGTAATGTGCCAGTTTGTGAATCATGGCCAAAAAATCATTCACAGTGAATGGCAAAACATTCAACATTAAAGAATTTTACAACTGTTCCAGCAGATATGTGGTTTATTGTATTGGCTGTCCCTGTGGCATGTTATATGTCGGCAGGAATATTTGCAATTCATGAGCTAGATTCAGAGAACATGGGAGACTCATTGAACAAGGGTATGTAGAACACAGTGTTCCCCGACACTTCACAGACAAACATTCCATGTCGACCAAAAATCTACATGTGTGGGTCATTGAGGCGATACACAATTGCATTTCCAAAAGAGCCAACACTCTGTCACCTCATGGGCAAATGAAGAAATAGAGATCCATACGGTCATTTAATTTTAGATTACGGGCCTGTGTCACACCTGCATGCACTCAACCAGGGTCTTTAAGTTGGCACAAATATTTATCATCTTTTATTTTATTGTATTTTATTTTCTACAAAGATTTGTGAGTCACCTCCATGCTTTTGCCTTTTTTTTTATATATTCATATATATTATTATATAGTCATATATACAGTTGCAAGAAAAAGTATGTGAACCCCTTGGGATTACGTGGAGTTTTGCATGAATTGGGCATAAAATGTGCTCTGAATGTCATGTAAGTCACAACAATAGAAGAACACAGTCTGCTGAACATAATACTACACAAACATTACATTTTGGCAAGGTTTAATTGCACATAACATGTAAACATTCACACTGCATGGAGGAAAAAGCATGTGAACCTGTGGACTTAATAACTGGTTAACCCTCCTTTGGCAGCAATAACCTCAACCAAACGTTTCCTGTAGTTGCAGATCAGACCTGCACAACGATCTGGAGTAATTTTGGACCACTCCTCTTCACAAAACTGTTTCAGTGTAGCAATATTCTTGGGATGTCTGGTGTGAAATGCTCTCTTAAGGTCATGCCACGGCATTTCAATCGGGGTTGAGGTCAGGACTCTGACTGGGCATCTTCAGAAGGCGTATTCTGTGCTGTTGCAGCCATTGTTTTGTTGAATTACTTGTATGCTTTGGGTCATTGTCCTGTTGCATCACCCATCCTCTGCGGAGCTTCAGTTGGCGGACAGATGGTCGTACGTTTTCCTGCAAAATGTCTTGATAAACTCTGGAATTCATTTTCCCATCAATGACAACAATCCGTCCAGGCCCTGAGGCAGCAAAGCAGCCCCAAACCATGATGCTCCCTCCGCCATGTTTTACAGTGGGGATAAGGTTTTGATGTTGGTGTGCTGTGCCTTTTTTTCTCCACACATAGTGTTGTGTGTTCTTCCCAAACTCAATCTTGGTTTCATCTGCCCACAGTATGTTTTGCCAGTAGTGCTGTGGAACATCCAGGTGCTCTTTTGCAAACTTCAAACGTGCTGCAATATTCTTTTTGGACAGCAATGGCTTCCTCCGTGGTGTCCTCCCATGTACTCCATTCTTGTTTAATGTTTTCCTTATTGTAGATGTGTCAACAAAAATGTTAGCATGTGCCAGAGATTTCTGTAGGTCTTTAGCTGACACTCTGGGATTCTTCTTTACCTCATGCAGCATTCTGCGCTGTGCTCTTGCAGTCATTTTTACAGGACGACCACGCCTAGGGAGAGTAGAAACAGTGCTAAACTTTCTCCATTTGTAGACAGTCTTTCTTACCGTGGACACATGAACATCAAGGCTTTTGGAGATACTTTTGTAACCCTTTCCAGCTTCATGCAAGTCAACAATTCTTGATCGCAGGTCTTCTGAGAGCTCTTTTCTGCAAAGCATGGTTCACATCAGACAGTGCTTCTTGAAACCACTAAACCCAAAACAGGTGTGTGTTTTTAAGGGCAGGACAGCTGTCAGCAAACACATCCAATATCATCACACTGATTGGAGTCAAGGTTGGCTCACTCCTGGCTCCAATTAGCTCTGGGAGAAGTCATTAAGCTAGGGCCTCACATACTTTTTCCTCCCTGCACTGTGAATGTTTACATGTTATGTGCAATTAAACCAAGGGAACATCTAATGTTTGTGTAGTATTATGTATTATGTTCAGCAGACTGTGTTCTTCTATTGTTGTGACTTAGATGACGTTCAGAGCACATTTTATGCCCAATTCATGCAAAACTCCACGTAATCCCAAGGGGTTCACATACTTTTTCTTGCAACTGTATTTTATACATTTTTTATGGTATATATAGATATATCTTTTTTCTTTAAGTATCCCAGCTTGTATTATGCTTATTTTTATTTAGCTATTTATGTATCTATTTTTCACTAGTAGCCCCATCCTTTTATCGCTATTAATATTAGTACTGTTATTTTATCATTGTGTTTGATTATTATTCATCTAGCGATTTATTCCCCCACTTTTAGGACATTTTCAGCATAAGTGGACTACGCAAATAGGGCACCCTAAAGTTCCATCCACTTCATCTACAGTAAGATGTCTCCCCTTTCTAGTTGGTCTCCATAAATTTGACAGCCCCATTTTTATCCCCCCTAAAATGGCTACCGGAGGGAGGCTGTTTGTCCTTATTAATATGGCGCTCTGAAGCTTCCTTTATTTTGGTCTCCACCAAGATGGTACTGCTATGCGCTTTGGTGGCACTGGCTTTATCTCCTCCAAAATGGTGCCTGGAACCTATTTATTCTGAAGTCTGTAAGTTTTAGGCAGACTTGATAAAGGGTCAGGAATACCCCAAAATATGCTGCCACACCTTCCCTGACATTATCATGCCTATCTGGTGCCTTACTTCTGCCCCAATGATCTCCATGCAGTTCACAGCAGCCTTTTCAGTTCCAGCTATCTGCAAGAGGAAGTGCCTGAGCTGGGGAAAGGCTGCCATCTAGTGGAATTGCATTACATGGTACTTTTTTGGATCACACACTTTGAATGCATATCATCTTTGTTTATATGAGAGCTAATACGTTGGTGGGGCTATTTCTCTTTCCTTGTCTTTTACATACATGTGAATGTCCAAGACCCTTCCTAATTTATGAACTATACAGACAAAGAAAACAAGCTCAGCTGCAAGTGGTGGCTAATTATGCAGTACATTTTTTTGATACCCAGGGAACAACTACTGAGTAGCTTGACAGCCATTACAATAAACGATAGTGAGGTCCACTCTTCCTTCAAAGTCCTAGTAGGGTGACACCATTTACTAGCCTTGTCTCTGAAATGCAGAGCCATGTTTCTGTTTGACATACTAAGATGCCCTCTAAAAAATTAGCTTTCAATCTGTTACACAGATGGAATATGGCCGGTAAGTGGCATTCCTCACAGGGTTCATCTACACTGATAATCAGGGCCCCCAGGGGCAGGGGTGGACTGACCATTTGGAAACTCGGGCACTGCCCGAGGGCCCGGGGTCAGTAGGGGGCCCCATGAGGTGCCCCTGGTACCTTTTTCATAGGCTTTTTTGAGTTTGGGCAAGGACACAGGGGCCCCATGATCCCCTATTGCCCGGGGGCCCCATGAGTTGTCAGTCCGCCCCTGCCCAGGGGTACGCATGCGCAGTTAGAGTGGGAGGATGTCATATGATGTCCTCCCAGAACAAGAGAGCTCTTTCTCATCCGTCATTTCTTTTTATGGTGGGTGGGAGGCGGTTTAACAACAAAAATCCTTTGATTATTACTGAAAACAGAGCACTGCTCATGCTAGATGTTGTCAAAGCTTTTGACAGGGTAGAATGGTACTATATCTGGGCTGTTCTCAATAACTTTGGGTTCAGGGAGAAATTCTGTAAATAGGTTAAGCTGCTCTATGTGAATCCATCAGCCTCTTTTTGAGTGAATGGATCTAGATCCTCCTCCTTCCCTCCATACTGTAGAACCAGCCAGGGCTGTCCCCTGTCACCATTCCTTTTCACAGTGCTGACAGAAACCCTAGCTGGTCGGCTGTGCCATTTACCAGCCGCAATTTGCTTTCGTAGGTGTTTGCATGAGAAAAAAAGTTGCTCTTTATGTAGATGATATACTTTTTTATTTCTCTGACACTCATTCTCTCTTGTCAGCTAAGGTATTTCCACAACATCAGCATAGTACAAATGCATACCACTAAGACTTCAAATCTGTATGCTATGCATAGATACTAGACAGATTTCTGATCAGATTCCCGCTTATATGTAGAAGAATATGAATGGAAAACTTAGGACCTATTACATGCAATGTGTGAGATGATAGTTTACAGTTGTATCTTTGTTTCCTCCACATGAGTTAAAACAACTCTCCATAGCTTATATGATCACATGCCTGTGTTCCTTTATAGAGCCCCTGAGCCATCACTACATTGCACTTTGCTGCACTCAGGATGATAGCTCTAATGTGGACATCGCCCAATCCACTTGAAGAACAAACCACCAAACTCAATAGGTGTATATAATTTGGACAACATACCTATTTCCACCTCAATAGCATTCAGCAGTTTGATGCCATATGGTCCTGCTAAACAAGGTTTATGTGTCCAGCTATAGGCTGAATGCCTGATTACCAGGCCTTTTCTTTACCAGTTGGGATGGCAATTCTTTTTCATCTAATTACTGTACTGTATTTTATACTTGCTGTTGGAACTGTTTGAGCATTGAGCTGTACGTTGTGTTTTTTCTTGTTTTTCTCTGTCCTGTAAGGTAGAATGTTTCTATGTAGTCAATACAGAAATGCCGGCGCATGGTGACTGATCCTTGATAACTGTTTTATTATGACACAGCTAACAATCAGAGCATGGCAGTAATGCTAATGTGTTTCATCCACTAAGGTCTATTGATCAAAACATGTTAGAATTACTGTCATGCTTTGTTTGTCAGAGGCAGTATAATAAAATGCTTATCAAGGATAAGTCACCATGTGCTGGCATTTCTTTATTATATGGACACTTGCTTGGCTTGCAGGAGCCTGGTTATGCACTGGTGTCCTGTCCTTATTGGATTAGGGTGGGGGAGGTTTGAGCGGTCTCATTGCTTGTCATGTTCCTATGTAAACTATAGTAAAATGCCTTTTATAAATCAAATCTAATTTAGAAAATTTAAACTGGTACTGGAGATACTGGATTTCACTCTGGAAAGGATCCAGTACAGCTGTTTTAAGCCTCAACACATGAATGACAGGGTATATCTTGTATGAATCAGGCGCACTGATTCATATGCTGCCATTCCTTCTTTTGACTGCAAAAAGGCCAGTGTATTTTGATAATTAGCTTATTTGATAGGCATGGTAACTTCAGATTTACCATTGATAACCATACCTTGTCTCATGGGATGAGGTGTAGCTCTCCCTTCTTATTCTTGTTACAAGCTCTTATTGTCTCCTGCTTGATATTTTCCCAGGAAAATTTTCACTTTGTCTTGTTTTGCTGAAACTGGTGAGTCCCTGGCTGTTTCAGGCAGAAAGGATGAAAAAAACCTATAACTGTTGAAAACTGGTTCCTGGTTTACAGCATTGTGCACAGAGTTAAGGGGTCTTCTTATCTGGTAAGCCTCCATTTTACACGCATGGTGGTGGTCCGTTCACATTGGTGATTTGTTGGATGAAAATAAGATCAACATTATTGATATTGTATTCAAGAAGCCCTGGATAAATTTCCTGTAGAAATTGGCAAAACCCAAAAACCTGTGCACTTCCTTTCTATCAGCTGGCCAATCCATGATGACATTAACCTTTTGTTGATCCATAGCAATATCTTCTGTAGAAGTGATGAAACCTAGGAAGATTTCTCTGCTTTGGCATAGAGAAAATGTTCTCTTATTCTGCTCAATACCCTTGTGAGGTTGACACAATGAAGCTCTTGCAAGAAGAAGATAGAAATGTCATCCAAGTATGTTATTATAACAAGATCAAGAAAATCACAGAAGATATCATTTACAAAGTGCTGGAAAGTTGCTGGTGCATTGCATAATCTGAATGGCATAATTTTTGAAATGTCTGAAGCAATTCCAAATGTCATCTTCCATTTATCCCCTTTTAATACTCAGCAATTTTCCTTAGTTCTGCTTTAACTTAAATAGGCCTCTGGCATGCACAGAAGCCAGTGGCAAATATGCATGCTAATTCACACTAATGCACCCATTCAGATCTTCGGACATGGCCATGCACTTGATATTCCTGACAAGGGGACACTGGAGTATAAAACTGGTAAGCACCGGGGCAGTTTTAATCCAGGATAAAAGGCCTAACTGGTGTATGCCTAACATTTTTTTCTTATCTATGGGAATATGGGGTGCATTAAATGGAAGCAATTTCATGTAAGGTGGTTAAGTTGCAGTTAATTTTCTTTTACTTTCAAATAATGCAGCACCATGCTCTAAAAAAGGCTGCATAATGAACAGGTGGTTAGTAACAAGTGAATGGTGAATTTTAAGGTACTCCAAATATAAAAAAGGCCTTTTCAACATAGAATAAAGACAAAAACACAAATAAAACAAGAACCCCAAAATGCCACCTTTAAAACAGAAGTCTACTTTATTTGTTTTATAGGGTGAAGACTTGCAACAACAAAAAAATCCAGTAGAAACTAAAATAAATGCTCTAACAACATAAAATAAAACTAATATTCCCTAAACATTAGTGAACATCCCAAAATACCAACCCCTGAAACAAAAGCTCATTTTTGTTTAAAGGGAAGCCTTACAGTAGAAAAAAATGCTTGACATAATTCATGGGCAATATATCTCCTTATGACGCTAATAATGGGGCACAATTCCTCACACTCACACCAGTGATGGGATACTTTTCCTCCCACTGACACCAACAATAGGGCACTATTCCTTCCACTGACAATGGTGGGGCACTATTTCCCCCCCAATTTCCAGAGGTGCTAGGTAATTTATATTTCCACTGACCATGGAGCCTGGGGCATTGTTTACTCCCACTGACCACTGATGCCAGAGAATTACATACTCCCACGGGTCATAGTCTGGCCCCCCTCAAGTCTGAAGGACAGTTTTTAGAAAACCTGTGGACCATCCCTGTTTTAGGTCGATATTGGATTCTTTAGATCTACTTGTATGTTTTCCACAGTTGAAATAAACCAAAATATTCAGAGTATACCCACACAAACACACAGGGGAAAAAGAGTTTTCTATGGGAAAAAAAGACAGCATTGATAGTCCAAAAAGTTAGCAATCAGAATTAATTTACAGTTTTCTAGTTGACCCTAATCTCTCCTTATGTAGTTTGTCAATTTTTCCTATTCTTTCCCAACAACAGATTCAATTACACAAATACTATGTCTTCACTGTGCCCCCTTTTTACAGTTGTGGTGTGGGGAAGGGGGGAGGCAGGCCCAAAACCTTCTGGCCATAGTTCATGGCCATGCAGTGCACTCTGGTTTAAAACAAAGTCTTGTGAATCTGCACAAATATTCCCTGAAATAGCGAACCCCATACACACAGGATTCACCTCAAAACCACGATAACAGCAAACCTGAACCTACTCCCTATTCTTTAATTGGACTGGAGCTAAGATCTTCTGGGTCCTAGGGAAATTAAGTTAGTAAAAATTAAGAGATGGCATCTCCTTCATCATATAATGAAGCAGCATAAGCCAGTTTCTATGGGTTTCCTAAATATCTTACGGAATAGTTGGGAGAGGAACTACAGGTCAAACAATCACCTGCCAGGATTGGAGTAGGATCTAGTGCTGATCCTGAAAGTGAAGTGGGCCGTTGGGTCGCCTAAGGGAGGTGAGGAGGCAATCTAGCCATTGAGGATTAAAGTGTGCTGACACTTTCACCGATATCATCACTACTGTCAGGTTGCAAGTGTTTTGTGTTGTTTGAAGCACTTGTTGATGGACAATTATATTTGTTTGGAGTTTTAAGTGATTTTCTGTGTGATCACATTTTGCCACTTGTCACATTCAGCATATCCCCTGATATAGGGGTCTTTTTGGTTTATGTTTAAAGTATATAAATTAGTTATTGCCACCTATTATGTGTTTATATGTGCATATATGGTATTAAGTCAATACACCGGTTTTAGGGCACGAGGATGACTATAGGTCACTTGTTTGTTTGTTTGAGCACTTGATGCACGTTTTGTCTATTTAGGTTGGTCTATATATATTTATTATATATATTTTTTTTTTTCGGAGGATTATTTTAGGGTAAGAGCGCTGCACTAATTTTTGGAAATATTGCCATTACATGATTGATGGCGGAGATTTCATCGCACTGGGAGGGGAGGAATTCCTACACACCTGACACCTTTTCTATATTTGACAATTAACTTAATTAGGCTAGAGTGCCTCCCCAAAGGAAGGGTATATTAGAGGACCTCAGACTGAGAATCTTTCTCTTGTATCTATGCTGACTGATGACTTGCATTATAACAAGGCTAACTCATAATCGGCATGGTAACAAGGTAATAGCTTATACTATACTGACTGGTTATATTTATGTTTGGCATACTGGCATTGAGTACATTTTCTCTTCTTATATTTATATTTAATTGCAGCCAATTATTGTGGTCACCCATTACTATCCTGACTGATTTATCATTACCAACATAAAGGATTTCTTCCTTATATGGATGATACAACAGTTATGTGCTGTTTGTTCGATTAAGGTGAATATTATCTTGTTTTTCTGGGACACA